CCCCCCCCTAAAAAAAATCACCACGGAAGATCCTGGAGGTTTTGCAGCCCCAGGAGATGGTTGGAAGCCTCCGGCTCCGCTCCCCGCTCCAGCCTTACAGGGCTTGGCCAGCTCCAGCTCGAAGAGCAGGTCCAGGAACTCCTTGACCAGCCCTTGGCCCAGGAAGAGTTTGACCAAGCTGATGGCGACCTCCTGCCGGCACTCGGCCGTGGTGGTTTCATCCAGGAGGGTGACCAGGTGCACTTGGCCATCCTGGTGGAGAGAGGCACCATGACATGACAGCCTGAGGGGGACACATGCCCCATGGGGCAGAGAGCTGGAGGAAGGTGGGTGCCCTGGTGGGGATTTGCATGGACCCCTCACCTGGCGCCCTGACTTCACCTCCTGGCACAGGAGCTGGACCAGAGGCTGGTAGCAGTGGGAGGGCAGCACCGTCTCGTCCCGCAGCCTCACCTGCAGCTGCAGCGAGCCCAGGCTGCCTTGGTGCCTGCAGGAGCACAGGGTGGATGGATAGAGGGATGGATGGATGGATGGATGGATGGATGGATGGATGAGCACTCCACCAAGCAGGAGGTGGCCCAACAGCCCAGGAAAGCCCAGGCAGGCAGGTGGGGCTGCCCTGCACTTCTCCCCCTCTCAGACAAGGGCATTTCCAGGAGCTTCCCCTCCAAAGGGATGATGCTTCCCAGGAGTAACCCCCTCCCCAATGTCCCTGTGGGCACCAGGACCACCCAATGCCCACCTCAACACCTCCATGTCCATCCCAACACCCTCATGCCCAGACTCACTCATCCTCCCTCGGCTTGGACTTGTCTGGCCACAGCCTGAACCAGCCTTCCTCCTGCCCGGCCACCTCCAGCCCCTGGACACTGAACACCACCTGGGAGAAGAAGGCAGGAGGGGGTCGGGCGGGCAGCCTGGAGGGACCCCCGGTAGCAGTGACAGGGTTTGGGGGCTCACCTTGCCCAGGAAGTCATTCCTGCCCACGAGGTCCCAGTCCCACACCTCCACGCACAGCTTCTCCCCGGCGGGCTCGGCCAGCTCAAACTCAAAGGTCTCGTTCCAGCGGGGGTAGCAGGACTTCTTGACCACCTGCAAAGGACACGGGTCTGACCCCCACCCTGGGGACAGCGAGCTGGGGATGTCAGGAGACAGGGATGGCTTCCCACTGGGATGATTTCACCTGCACCACGACAAACCAAAGTCCTACTCACGGTGCTCTCCTGCATCTTCCCGTTGTAGCGCAAACGGACGAAGGGGTCGGAGGCACCATTCCGGTCCTTCCTGGCCAAATCCCTGCTCAGAAGAGGGGGAATTTGCCAGGATTCTCCCAAAATACCTACGGGCACCCACAGCACCCACTCCCCTCCTCAGGTGTCCATGATCTTGAGATGCACACCCTAAAGACCAGCAGATGAGGTGAACCCTGCCCCAGGACCCCCATCAGCTGCTGAGTGATGGGGAGGATGCTCTGCACCCAAGGGAGGGGAACTGAGAAGACCCTGGTTCAGTGGGGAAACTGAGTCACGGAGCAGTCACCCAGCTGCGCACACAGAGCCCCTTGTCCCCCCCGTGTCCCCTCCTCACCTGGCCTCCAGCACGGTGCAGCACAGCAGCCGCCGGCTGCCCTGGCTCCCCTGGACCTCCACCCGCAGGTGGATCTCCCCCTGCACCTCCTCGTCGGGGTCCACCTCGCTGAGGCTCATCCAGCCGCTGTAGCCTGCGGGGAAAAGGGGACACCCTCATGGGGGGGTCACTGAGGAGAGACCCTCAGGACCGGATTGTCACAGGGGTGGGAGATGGGTAGGGTCCCCCCTACCCTTGGGGTGCTCCACCAGCATGTCCCGGGTGATGCAGACCTTCCCGATAACGTCGTCACGGCTGGAAAACAAAAGCCAGGAGCAGGACACGAAGTGGGATCAGGGCCCACCCCACCAGGCCCTGGGCAGAACAGACCCCGCTGCATGTTTCAGGGGGGAAAAGGCACCCAGGTGTCCTGAGCTGGGGCCACCACAGTGGGTCTGTCCCCATGGAGCATGTTAACCACCCTTTGCTGCCAGCTGGAAAATAACCTCAGGAAATAATTTCACCCATTTGTGTCCCAAAGGCCAAGCCAGGTGTGGATTCTCTGGTGTCTACAATGGGGTTGAGCATGCAGGCAGCCAAAACCACCGAGCTCCGAGTCCCCATGCCAAACCCCCATGGCCCCACAGCCAACCCACCCATACCTGAGCGCATCCTCATCCATGACGTAGATGGAGATGCTGTGAAAGGTGGGATGAAGGTGCACCTCGTATTCCTCCCCCCAAAACGGGGACAGAGTCTTCCACACTGTGGCAGTCCTGTGGGGCAGAGAGCATTGGTGATGATGATGGAGGAGACAGGACTTCCTCACCAGGACTCTCACCACTTCCCCACCACTGTGAACTTCTCAGCTTTTGGTGACACATGGCTGGGCGCAGCACCCACAGGTCTGAACCCTCAGTTGAGGGTCCCTGTCCCATCTTGTGGCTCTGGGTTGGCAAGACGTGGAGGGTAGCTTACAGGGTAGGGGGTGGCCATGGGCTGTCAGACATCACAGCCTGTGTCTGGAGGAGCAGCTCAGCCCAAAGTAGGGAATAATAATAATGATAATATTGTGCTGCAGCAGGGTAGGTGGAGGAACCTTCCAGGAGCCAGGTGTGCCAGGAGGTTTGAGGGACCAACGAGGGACATGGAGCCACTCACCTGATGATGGCCTCATCATCGATCTTCACGATGCAGTACGGGTCGCTGCTCCCCGTGCTAGAAGGACATGGCACAACCCTGTCAGTGCCACCAGCCATGGCTCTGGCCTCCTTCCCCAGCCCCACGGGGCTCTCATGGTCACAGGTGACCAAAGCCTTCAGCCCTTGCAAACCCCTCCACAGCGTGGGGACCTCTCAGGTCCTCCTTGTAGGGACACCCCAGAAGCCAAAAGATTCAGTGGGTGGCTTCGACCTTGGCTTTGCTCCCAGCCCGAGGAAACACATCCTTGACTGTGTCCGGCCACCGTGTCCCGCTGGCAGCTGAACGTGGCTTTCCTCTTCCAAATAGGAAGGTGAAGAACAAACAAAACCCACCCTTTCCCCGAAACAGCCCCATTCTGTGCACTGGGAGCCAGGCCACAGCGACCTCCCCCAGCCCCGACACCTCCGTAGGGATGGGGACATCCCTGGGGACACCCCCAGTGATGTAGAGGTTGCACAGGGCAGGCAGCACGAGCCACGGAGCCCATGGGGCTGTTGGCAGCCACCACGATGCTCTGACCCTGCTTCCTCTCTGGGGACCACCCGAGTCATTGCCCCTGGGCAAAAAAAAAAAAGAAAAGAAAAAAAAATAATCACCATTTTACAGCTTATTGCCCATCAGAAATGAGGTGACTCAGTCGCAGAGAGGGGTGGGGGCTCCGGCTGGAGGCAGAGGAGCCAGCAGGACCTGGGTTGTGGCCAAGAGGGTGGAAGGGTTGTGGCTCCCGTGTCGCACGCAGCCACGGTTACTCATTAACACCGGCACCGGTGGCATTCGTCAGCCAGCGGTGGGGGTCCCAGAGAAAGGGGGGGGGGACACATGGGTGGGAGTTTTGGGGCCTCCAAGCACAGAGCGATTTCCCTATCCTAAAAGCAGGGAGGCTGAGAGCCAGCTGCTGGGGGGAAGGGGGGGGATTACAAGGTTTTGGGGGGATTAAAAGGGTTTGGGGGGATTAAAAGGGTTTGGGGGGCTCCCTGCCCTGCAAATCACGGCTGCAGGGGGGTTCTCTGCACTGTGCACCCCCAGCACTGTGCTGGGCATCCCTGGGCACCCCAATCCTTTCAGACCAGCATGGTGCTGGCAGCACAGGCGGGTTGCTAAGAGCAGCTTTCTGCCTGTCTCCTGCCCCCCTTTTTAATGAGCGCGGGTTTTAATGAGCGTGGTGGACGAAGCGCCATTAGCCAGCGCCTGTCACTGACATTTCCTGCCTTGTGCAAACCACAACATCTGCCCGTCTCAGCCGTGCCCAGCAACGCCTTCGGATGGCAGCTCCCCTCGACTGCCAGCAGCAGGAAAACCTTGTCCCCAAGGTGGGGACGGTTCGAGCTCATGGGCTGCTCCGCGTCCCCGGGGACACAGGGTACCACCAACCCGCCCTCGTAGCACTGGGGCATCGTGTCCTCCGGGGATTAAAACACAGGGTGACCAGAATCCATCCTCCACGGGCTGCACCCAAATTGCTTGGGGAACCTGCGATCTGCATCAGTGGGGGGATAAATGAAGCTGGCACCCCACGGGGTGACACCGTCTGCACGGCATCGCCGTCCCTGGACACGGACCAGCGCCTGGAGGTGTCAGGGGAAGAGATTTATAGGGCTGCCAGGCTCTCTGCGGGCGCTGGGCATCCTGCTGACGCCTACGCAGAGCTCGGGCAGCCGCAGGAGGAGAGGGAAGGAGCTGGGAAAGGGGAAGGCTGGGCTTTAGAAAGAGGAAACGGAGAACCGAAGCTTTCAAGATTGATAGCAGGGGATAAATCGCGATGGGGGGAGGAATAAATAGGGGTGCTCTCCACAGCCATCCACCCCGGCAGGCAGTGCTGGGGGAGGGGGGAGCTGAGGCATTGAGTTTTACAATTAGAAATTCACCCGCTTTTGGCCAGCCCTTGGAGGGGAGGGGCAAGAAATTATTATTATTTTTTTTTTTAAATATATATAATAAAGCAGACCATTTTCCTTGCTTTCCTGCAATGAAGATGCAGAGGAGGATTTTGCAGCACTCGGCTGGGAGGGGGCTCACACTCCCACCATATTCCGAGGGGGGGATGGAGGCAGAGCCCACCCAGAGCTGCTGCGCCTCTTCCCCCCTGCCCTGGCCCCAGGTGGGGGGGACACACGAAGCAGGAGCAGGTTCCCTGCCTTTTTATGGGCAGTTTCATGGTTTCGTGGCCATAGGGTGCCAAGCCCCGTGCCGGGCGGGTGCTCGCTGGGGAGGCAAAACCAAAAAGCGGCTTTTCTGCACCGGGAGGAGGTGGGAGACCCACAGGCAGAGCAGCTAAACCCCAGGGAAATCACAGGGGGAGAGGAAGGGGGCTGCACGTGACACAGCCCCTTGGAGCAGGGTGGCACTGGGCAGGGGAGGGGGGTATCACAGACCACAGCAACGCCGGCCAAATCCTGCTCCTGCAGCTCCCTCCCACAGGGGTTTGGGGGTGCCCCATCACCCGTGGGTTCAAATATGCCCGGGGGACGCCGCTGTCACCCCGCAGAGGGATTTCCCCTGGGGAAAAAAACCAGCGGTGATCCCAAAGGCTGTGAGAGGAGCTGGATCTCGCAAGCCCCCCATCCGCAGGGGAGGGGGACGGCGTCCAGCCACGGCCAAGGTCAGGAGCAGTGAGTGAATCGGGTTTCCCTCCCTCCCCGCCGGGGCGGCCGCTCTCCCAATGCCCGGGAAGCTGGGCTGAAGGTGTTATCACACATCACACCCCTTAAAAACCAGCGCCTCCTGAAAAAGGGAGCCTGCCCGCCCCAGTTCACGCCGCCGGCGGGGAGGTGTGCCAAGGGATTTAAAAAATCAGGCCCCGGCACACGGGATTTAAAAAAAGAAAAAAAAAAAAAAAAGTCATGTTTCTTTCCTTGTTTATCCTCTTTTTCCATGACGGCTGCAGGGATTTTTGCTGCTGTTCCGGCAGCCTTGACCCTTCCCGGCTGCTGAGCTCTCCTCAACAGCCTCCCGCTGCTTTGGTGGCTGGGGGGTCACCCCGATGCCATTCCCCCCCCCCCACACCCCAACACTGTCCCCACGTCCCACCCCAGAAGGATCAGAACCATGAGGATAACACCGGGATATGTGGGCAGCCCTTTTGGGGGGCTGCCAAGGAGGGAAAGCCCGAGCCACGGGGCTGCCAGAGGAGCCCCCTGGACCACAGCCAGGGCTGGGACCAGAGCAGCGATGGGACAGAGCACCGCGGCTCCTCCCTGCTCTTTTTGGGGTCCTGCTGCTTGTTCCAGGGGTTGCCGCAAAGTTCCCAGCCCCAGGGCCAGCTGCAGGTGGGGGGTGCGTGTGTGGAGGGGGCAGTCCTGCCCCGTGGTGGCCCAGGAGGAGCCCCACAACGAGGGACCACTGCTTGGGGTACCCTAAAGCGCTGCTGAGGTCACCCCTCACTACTGGGTGCTCCTGGGAAGCAACCTCAAAGCCACCCCAGGGGGTATCCCCAGGCAGGGGGACACCAAAGCACTCCCAAGGGAGTCCCCAAAGCGCTGAGAAGTGCTGGGGGCACCCAAAGCCATCTTGGTGGGAACCCTAAAAGCAAGGGTGGGGGGGGTCCCAAAGCCACCCTGGTGGGAAACCCCAAAGCACAGGCGCTGCTGGAGGGACATCCCAAAGCCACCCTGGAGGGAACCCCCAGTGCAAGGGGACCCCAAAGACATCCCGGGAGAAACTCCCAATGCAAGGGGACTCCAAACACATCCTGGAGGGAACCCTCAAAGCACTGGCACTGCCAGGGTGACATCCCAAAGCCATCCTATGGGGACCCCCCAGTGCAAGGGGACATCCCAAAGCCACACTAGAGAGACCCCCCCAGAGCACAGACACTGCTGGAGGGCAGCCCAAGCCATCCCGGGCAAGCCCTCAAAGCAGGGGCAACACCCCCAAAGCCACCCTGGGGGGGGTGTCCCCAAAGCACAGGGACCTGTTGTGGGGGACACCCCACAGCACTCCTGAGACAAGGGGGCTCCCTCCCAGGGCAACCCCCCCAGACCCCTCCCGGCCCCCCGGGAGCACTCACATGTCCTTGGCGGGCAGGTTCTTGCCCTCCACGATGCGGATGGAGAGGGCGCTCCGCCGGGCCATGGCGGGCGGGCGAGCGGGCGGCGGAGCCGAGACTCGAACCCGCGGTTCCCCCGGCCCCGCGCCCATGTGCGGGCCGGCCCCGCCGCCTGCCAATCAGCCCGTGGGGCGGAGAAAAGGGCGGGGCCGGAAGCCCTTCCCCGGCGCTGATTGGGTGATTATATCGGCTGTCGGCCAAGGGGTGGGGTCTGGGCGGGAGTGGGCGGGGCCTGAACGGGAGTGGGCGGGGCCGAGGCGGGCGTGGGCGGGGCCGAGCCGGGCGTGGGCGGGGCCGAGGGGCTCAGCGCAGCGTCCCGCTTGGCTTGGCAATTAAGGACCGTCTCTAATTAAGGCCCGCTCCCCCCGCGAGCCTGGGGCCTGTAGTCCCCAGCAGCGGCCGCTCGCTGCCGCCCTGTGCCCCGAAACCCCACCTTTTGCTTGGTTTTTTTAACCTTTTTTTCTTTTTAAGGGCTGTACCCCCCCGCCGGAGGGAGGTAAGGGTGGCATTTTTGGGAGTGCCATAAATACGGGGTGGGGGGACAAGGGACCCTTCCTGAGAGACCTGCCTCGGCTGGCACCCAGCGCTGGGGCTTGGGGCCGTGGTGGCAGACACTGCCGTGGGCTTGGCATTTGGACACCATGGGGACACCATTGGGACACGCTGGGGACACCATGGGGACATACTGGGGACACCATGGGGACACCATTGGGACACGCTGGGGACACACTGGGGTCACACTGGGGACACCATGGGGACACACTGGGGACACGCTGCCCCGTCCTGCCCCTCTGCCACCCCCGCACTGGGTGACAAAGCACAGTCCCCCTGCCACCCTCACTCGCGCCTCCCCACATGCCAGCCCCACAGGTGGGTTGGGGGACACATGTCCCACCTCCAGCAGTGCCTGAGGGACAGGGGGACAACCCCCCCCCCTCCCCAGCCACCCAAAGCCACTTGGGGGTGACGTGGGTGTTTCGTGTCCAGGGATAAGGGAGGGGACCAGCGTTTGCCAGATGAAACCAGCCCTTGGCTGTGCCCAGGCCGGTCTCCGCAGGGGTTAATCACCGGATTTGCTTCGTTTCCCTTGGCTGGGCTCCACGGAGG